TGCTGAGGGATTGGAATCATTGCCCAGTGCTGAGGGATTGGAATCATCATTGCACGTTCTGGGCGGGAGTTGAGCGTGGTGCCTGCCAGGACTCTCTCTGTCTGAACTGCCAGTTCAGTTGGCTTATCTGAGATGCCCTCCTATATTTGCCCTTGGCTCATCAAAGATGAAGAATAACTTGGCTTGGAAGGGACCTGGAGACGAGCTGTTTGAAACTCCCATGCACAGCAAGGCCAGCTTTGAAGCTAGATCCACTCTGAATACAGCCTATAAGGGTAAATATCCTTTTTGCTGGAAGGATTCACTTGGAGGAGACAGGTGATGCTTAGGAAGTCTTTCCTGCCTGGGAAGTGCCTTTCTCCAGGATGGCTAGGTGTTTTTTTTTCCTTTTCTTTCTGCATTCCAGAGAGGGCTGCAGGCTCTCTCTGTCTCCAGTATGAGGAGGGATAAACAGGTGTTACAGGCAGTGCTGGTGGAGAGAGCTGGTGGCAGGGGGAGAACTGAGAAGATAAAAAGTCTTGAAGAAGGACAGGAGGTGTGTCTTTCTCAGGCCCAGTGCTTTTGCAGCACTGATGCAGTTTTCCCTTGTAGATCTAGTATTCTCGACTTCAGAATAAATTTCCTTGAACTCCTTCCTTGTGGCATTCCAAGGGGTACTGGTGTGTTACCTGACACTGCACAGCCCAATACATCACCAATCCTGCATCTGGTGGCTGAAAATCATTTAAGGACTGTTTAAAGTGAGACAGTCTATTGGAGAGTACTCATGTGCTCATGTTTTTATTGCTTTGTATATTTTAGGCAGAAGGAACAGAACTTTTAAAGGCGGTGGGTTTTTTTGGTTTTGTTTTTAGGAGTTAGCTTATGTCAAGTGAACATCAAAGATTGTCTTGAAAGAGATATTATAGGGAATAGTTAATTAACTTATTGCTCCTTTTCTCCCCTGCCAGATCGTATATTGAAAGAGTCCAGCAAAGTTTTCGAAGATGTTTTGGAAAGCTTTTACTCCATTGATTGTATTAAGTCACAATTCGAAGCCTGGCGCTCCAAGTACTTCGCTTCTTATAAGGATGCTTATATTGGCCTCTGTTTACCAAAGCTGTTTAACCCTTTAATCAGACTTCAGCTGCTTATCTGGACTCCTTTGGAGGTAAGGTCGTCTGCAAGTAGCTCCTGCATAAGCTGCTCCACAGCGGTTCTTTCACACTTGTGCAGAGCAAAGTAAACTGCACCTCTGATGTGTGCTTCTCCTGAAGGGATGAAGTTTAAAACAGGCACCTCTCGTGGGGCAAAGCTTTTCTGGAGTTTCTAGGCTGTTATCCTCTGGTTTCCCAGCAGGCCAGAGTTCAATTCAGCATGTACCAGTACCTTCTTAGTGGGTGGTGTAGACCAAAGAGTCAAACAACATAAATAAAGGTGTCCTGGCCCATGGCAGTGGGTTGGAACTGGGTGATCTCTAAGGTCCCTTCCACCCTGAACATTTCTGTGATTCTGTGAAAATACATTTAGGCTCTAAAATACTTCAGAGAAGATTGTGACTCTAGATACGCTGTGTCTTCAGAAGTGGAAGTAAGAAACCTGTTCTTATGTTGAGTTACAACCTATGTCTCTATAGATTATATATCTTTCTTTCTCTCACCTACACCTTCATACCCTGCACAACTCTGGCTGGCAATTTCCAGGTCTTCCTCATAGTCCTCCTTGCCCAGTTATTAGGTAGGGAGCATGGGAGAAGCAGTACAGCACCCAGTATCTCTGGCACATGTTTGTTGTGCAGCCTGCATAGGTGTGCTTACATGAGATGCCACCAGGACAGGCAGTTCAGGTACCTTTTGACTCCCACTCTCTTCTTCCACCTTTTTTCAGAAGTGGGTTTTTTTCTTAACTACTAGGAGAATTTTTTATAGGAGAATTTTCTGTCACCTCTGCTCATTGCAGAGGGAGGGAAGCATAAGTCCTCTTCAGAGGGAATTCAGAGTATTAATTTTATTAATTTGATGGTTTACTTCATTAATCAAACAAGGGGAGATCTATGTTTTTGCACATTGTCCCTTCCCCCATTGCTATTTCTCTGTGAGTTTCCAGGCTGTCAAAACCAAGCTCACATTAGTTGGAGACATGGTGCAGAGTTATCAAGTCTAACTGTATTCACTACTCTGTTACTGCTCCTGGTAAGCATTTTGCTAAGTTAGAAAAATTTCAAGGTGCTCATAAAGAAGAGAGGTTTTAAATCCAGCAGTTATAATTTTATAATGCAGCACAATTGAGCTGTACTTCCCACTTGTACCCTGATCTGTGGGCTTTTATTTGGCTGCATCTATAAAGTAGAAGTTAAAATCTGTGGGGCAACAACTGCTAAAAAAATCAATCTTCTGCCATTTTCACTTTTCATTACATCTGGTGACTGTGTGGTGGCAGAGGGAATTGGTTCATTTGTTTTAAAGTTGTTTTGTCCTGTTTTGTGGGTGGTATCATACTTGCATACATAATACTTTTTCTATGTGTTGACTTCAAATCTCTTTTTAGGAATCTAACCTCAGTTCTTTTTTTGATTAGGGCAAGTGTCGAGATTTTGAAACGATGTTGTGGTTTGAATCACTGCTGTTTTATGGCTGTGAAGAGCAGGAGCAAGTGAAAGATGATGCTGATATTTCACTGTTGCCTACCATTGTAGAGAGAGTCGTTCTTCCTAAATTAACAGGTACAGGCTTGGAAAATGGGAGGGAAAGGGTTGTGAAATCAGATGCTTCTTTGTGCTTTCAGATTTTACTGTTTTGTAAATAATTGCATTAATGTCTCAATACCTGTATTTGAGTATTTTCAAAGTGGAGTAATTCTTTAATCTCTTACAGTGATTTCAGAAAATATCTGGGATCCTTTTTCTACCACACAGACATCTAGAATGGTAGCAATTGTACAGAAACTAGTAGATGGATATCCCTCAGTGGTGAACGCAGAAAACAAAAATACACAAGTAAGTTGTTTTTTTTTTCATAAGTACTTTGCCTAAGTTAAGGAATTTGAATTTATTTTTAATACACTTACTGTTGGAAAACACAGCAAGAAAGAGAATTTTTCAGCCATTCGATGCTCTGCAGCTTGGTTGTGGACAGTCAAGTATGGGGATAAATTAAGAGACTTTAAGACTATATGTGTGCTGAATATGTGCCTTTACTGTTTGTTCTTTGTTGCTTTAAAAATCAATTCTTGATATCTAACTACTAAGCAATGCCTTGGACATTTAAAAAAAATTTATCTGTTTCAGATGCTTTTGAAGGCATTATTGCTAAGAATGAGGAGAACACTAGATGATGATGTATTCATGCCCTTATATCCAAAAAAGTAAGTTTACTTTCAACTATGGTGTTAGATCTTTCTTAGCAAGTCTCTGCCTTCTGTCCATAGTTAACAGGGGTTTTTCCCAGTGTGATTCAGTGCCTGGATACAGGACATCTTTTGTTATCCTGCTGGTAGCATTTAGCAAAGACAAGGATGGAAGGGAATAATTATGGAAATGATGTGTGTGCTGGAGACAGGAAGCCAGAAATTCCAGACAGAGGTGTGGTCTTGGTTGCTCATTAAAGAAATCTCTTACTTTCCAGCATCTTAGAAAACAAGAACTCTGGTCCATATTTGTTTTTCCAACGTCAGTTTTGGTCCTCTGTCAAGGTAAGTCAGTAAATACATCTGGTAAATGTTTGGTCTAAGGCAGTGTAGCAATAAAATACTCCTCAAATTTGTGGAAAAGGGTAAATGGAAACCGCTTTAATTTTATTTGCAAGAACTCTAATTGAGGATTCTTAGTCTTTGGTAATGCTCTGTGCCTCTGCATTAGTCATTAGTGGTGACCCCCAGGGCTCAGCTTTGGGCCCAGTCCTGTTTAATATCTTCCCTGATGATCTGAATGAGGGGATCCAGTGGACCCTCAGTAAATTGGCAGATGACACCAAGTTGGGTGGGAGTTGGATCTGCTGGAGGGCAGGAAGGCTCTGCAGAGGGATGTGGACAGACTGGATCCATGGCTGAGACCAACAGCATGAGGTGCAGCGAGGCCAAGTGCCGTGTCCTTGGGTCACAACCACGCCCTGCAGCACTACAGGCTTGGGGACAGAGTGGCTGGAAAGTGAGCCAGCAGAGAAGGGCCTGAGAGTGCTGGTGACAGCAGCTGAGCCTGAGCCAGCACCGTGCCCAGGGGGGCAAGGAGGCCGGTGGCATCCTGGCCTGGATCAGGAATAGTGTGGCCAGCAGGACTGGGGAAGGGGTTGTCCCTTGTACTTGGCACTGGTGAGGCCACACCTCGAGTGCTGTGTCCAGTTCTGGGCTCCTCAGTTCAGGAAGGACATTGAGGGGCTGGAGCGTGTTCAGAGAAGGGCAGCTGAAGGAGTTGGGTTTTAGTCTGGAGAGGAGGAGGCTCAGGAGAGTCCTTCTCACTCTCCACAGCTCCCTGACAGGAGGCTGTAGCCAGGTGAGGGTGGCCTCTTCCCCCAGGCAACAAGCAACAGGATGAGAGGACATGGCCTCAAGCTGTGCCAGGAGAGGCTCAGGTTGGACATGAGGAAGAATTTCTTCACAGAAGGGGTGATTAAACATTGGAGTGGACTGCCCAGAGAGGTGGTGGAGTCACCATCCCTGGAGGTGTTTAAGAAGACTGGAGGTGGCACTCAGTGCCATGGTCTAGTTGGCAAGGGGGTGTTCATTCAGAGGTTGGGCTCCATGATCTCAGCAGAGGTCCAGCCTGGTTGATTCTTTGATTCAAAGTGAAAGCACTGTCATTTCAACTTGCACGTCACTGAGTGTACTCAGCCCAGGATTGTTGTGTCCTTGTGCTTGCCAGAATAAAATATACTGCTTTGGGGGAATGGGAGAGCTCCAAGCTGTGACTGTCATAGTTTCTTTCCAATAAAAGGCTGTAAAGAAAATTAGCTCCCAACTAAACAGAAAAGTAGAGACTCGTGTTGGTTGAACACCTGCTCTCCACGATCACACAAAGAGAACTCTTCTCTGGAATTTTGTGTTTAAATTGCAGCAGTGAGGGAGACTGTGTATTCTGAATAGGTTTGCAAAATATTTTAAAATAATACTAAATATTTTAAAAGTGTTTTATGCGTTCGATCAACTGTCTGGTTTCAGTACATCTTGAAATACTTATTTTCCCTGTGTTGTGTTTTCAGTTATTAGGAAACTTTCTCCAGTGGTATGGGATCCTTTCAAATAAAACTCTCCAAGAGCTGTCCATAGATGGGCTGCTAAACAGATATATTCTTATGGCTTTTCAAAACTCGGAGTATGGAGAGGACAGCATTAAGAAAGCTCAAAGTGTAAGTAAAATCAAACAATGCTTAAAGTCACAGATTGCAGTTGAAGGGACAATGTAGTTAAAACTTGAGGTTGCCTATGAAATTTTGGCTTTGATATCTCAAAAGTTGTGGTGTCAGTGAAAAATAGATTTTATATTTTTTTAATACACAAACTAAAGAAAGAACTAAAGCCATCCAAGAGATTGGCTCATATCTGTAGATGGCTTAGGTGTACTGTGGGTTTCAGATTTTTACTGCTGGGATTTTGGTTACTTTTTTCTGGTAGTTTTCTCGCTTGTTCGCTCATTTGGGCCTTGTCACTGCAGTCTTACCTGGCAGATTTCACAGATCATGTTACATAGCTTTTAAACTTTTTCTTACACTGTGTTTAACTTTCTTTTTCCTGTTCTGCCTAGGTAATTGCTTGCTTTCCTAAACAGTGGTTCAGCAATCTAAAAGGAGACAAGACTATTTCTCAGCTAGAAAACTTCTGTAGGTACCTTGTTCACCTGGCTGATACAATTTACAGGAACAGCATTGGTTGCTCTGATGTAGAGAAGAGAAATGCAAGGTAACTTACTTTGAGTTAAAGCAGTTGCAGTTCTTGTGATCTGTTTTATTTTGCCTGTGCATGCAAACATGAGTAACTGTCTCTGTCCTGCTGCATGTCTTTGGAAACCTCTTTGAATTCAGACTTGAAATATGTTACAGTGTGCTAGATGGGGATATTTTTAAGGTGTCTAAACCCAGCAACTTCTGGAAATATTGAAACACTGGTAATATATATTGCACTAGTGCTTAGTGTCAGAGATTCTTAAGGGGGTTTATAAAAAGGAGGGAGAGGGACTTTTTATATGGGCAGATAGTGTCAGGTCCAGGGGCAGTGGTTTTAAACTGCAAGAGGAGACTTTTAGGTTAGATATTAGGAAGAAATTCTTCCCTGTGAGGGTGGTGGGGCCCTGGCACAGGTTGCTCAGAGAAGCTGTGGCTGCCCCATCCCTGCAAGTGTTCAGGTTGGATGGGGCTTGGATCTAGTGGGAGGTGTCCCTGCCCATGGCAGGAGAGGTTGGAATGAGGTGATCCTTAAGGTCCCTTCCAACCCAAACCATTCTATGATTCTGCCAAATTTTGTAGCTGCTGTGTTTGGACTGTTTCACTTGGTGAGCCTGTTGCTGATTCCTGCATAATGCCTTCTAAATTCCAAACTGGCTGTGGTATACAGTGGAAAAGTTCTGACTTAATTTACACACCCAGCCAGATGAAGCTGCTTTGCCCTAGATCCAAGAGTCGTTTTGCTTGAATCCAATAACCAGTTTAATGAAAAGTTTGGATTGGACACGTTACTGCTGGCCTGAAATGCTATGGGAACAGCAACAGCACAGGAATAAACAGTCTTCCAGTCTTGTTATAGTCCTGTGTATCAGTGCAATAATTTGGGTTTCAAGTTTAAATTTTTGAACTCTCTCTTTTGATAGTCTGTTCCTAGATTTGAAAGAACTTTTTTTACCAGGTGAAAAGATAATTTGGTAAAAGTCTGTAGTGGAAGAGAAACATCCAGTTAGCCTTATTTCCATAGCGAGTTCTAATTTAATTTCTGTCTTCTGTCCTGCTTTTCCCCAGTGTTTAACAAAGCTGTTGCCATTACCCTCATTAAGAAAATATAATAAATCTGCAGCAGGAATATTAACTATATGGCTTCCTAATGTAATCTACTGTTGTAATATTAATCCATGTCATTGATGGTTCTGTTCCTGTATTGACTTCTCCTTCCTCCTTTTAGGGAGCACATCAAGCAGATCATAAAGCTTTTAGCAAGTATCCGAGCCCTGGATCATGCTGTTACAGTTGCAAATGATCACAACGTAAAAGAGTTAAAGATTTTAATAGAAGGAAAATAGACTTTTGCCACAACTCAGTTTGAGCTTTAAAACCATTCCTGATCTGTAATTTATGTACATATGTAAAGTTTCTTAAACTGTAAAGTATTGATCTTTGTTTTAATACAAAGTGCATTCTTATATACAGCATCCTTAAAAATAAAAATCATTGACTTCATTGAAAACAAAAATGGAATCCCAAGATTGTCATCTTTCCAGAAACCAACTTTTCCTTCAAGTTTCTCAAAATCTTGTTTACAAAAATACTTTGTGCCCATGATCAGTAGTCATCTACTCCTGTTAATTGTTCCATGGTTAACTGGAATGTGTATAATATATTTTGTGTAATCCAATGTATGCACATATTTATACCACCGTGTTGCTTTCACACTGGATATAGAGATGTTGTACTGTTGCAATGAGCTTTTCATTTGCTAAAAATTACTTATTTTGACAATAAAATGATCATATTATTGGTCAAAAGGGCTGGTAAAACATACAAATATGTGAAAATCATTTGAGCTGAAGAGTAGAGACACATTCAAATGGAACCTGACCTTTAAAAAGCAGCTCTGCTGCAGTCCAAGTGGAGCAGCTAAATGCTGATTTGTGTTCAGAATGTGGAACTCTGAAGACTGTTCTTCGAAAGGAAAATCCAAAATCGCTGCTGAATTATTTTAATGCAGGCAAACAATTAGAACTTGTGATCATTGTGCATGTGCAGATGGCAGCACTTCCTAAGCTCCAAACACCTGACATTTTGTAGGAGTAATGGTTTACCCCTGAACTCTGGACCCTCCTTTCTTTTGTAAGTTGCTTAAATCCACTGTTTCTGTCAGGATTTGGGGTTTTTGGTTTTGTGGTTTTTTTGTTTTCTGTTTTTTGGTTTGTTTTCTAATGTCATCCATGGAACCCGTTTTTTCAGATTATTGTGGCTAAAGAGGTCGAGCAAATTGAAGGTGAAAAAAACCTTGAAGTCTTTATATTGTAGTAAATATTCAAATGTTACACTTTCCACTAAATACCATATAAGAATAGTCTTTCAAAAAAAGCCCAAACAGGGATCAAATTTAAATGTAAATAAAAAAGAAAACACTTAAAAAAAAATCTGTTGATTTATATCAGAACACTAGTGACTTGATCTTGGGGTCCAAGGCATGGGGACAGCTGTAATAGCCTTGGGTTAAGAGCTATTTCCACATGTGCCCTCCTTTTTTTAGGGGAACTGTAGCAATTTGTGTAATGAGTAACGTTTGTGCTCATGTTGTGGTATAAATGAGTTACAGTAAAAACGTACCATTTGTCACATGCACACTGCTTTGGACACTGGACAGTTGTTTTTCTGAACTGTTGGGATTGATGGAGTACTCTCAGAAATACCTGCTTTTAAAAATTGTTTCAATAAACTCATCTGGTGGAGGAGTTGTTGCGGTGCAACTTGGTAAGCTTCTTTCCTTTAGGAAGGGAGTAAAGGAAATTGTCTGGGTGCTGGCTGACTCTCAGTGTGTCAGACAGAAAAGCTGTTGGTGCTGCAGATAATAGTCCTTGCAGTGGAGGTAAAGGCCAGACAGAGCTTTCTGTCCTGGCACTTCTCGTGTGGGAGCAATTCTTGGATATATTGTGTTCCGAAGGTGCTGTTTAAGTTTTGGAGGTGGGCTCCAGAAAGAGAATGACTCTGTTTTCCTTCGGGAAGGGCAGCACCCAGCACCAGTGTTGGTGGTGCAGACAAGAGGTGGCCCAGGGGAGGCAGGTTGGAACCAGTTTGATCAGGTTGGAACCGCCATAAAATAATAAAAATTTTTAAAAAATCTAATAAAAAGTAAAAATCAAATTAAAAACTAAATAAAAAAGAAAAAGGTTTCTTCAAATGGAATTGACCTGAGCCAGTGGCTTCTGCTCCAAGGGGAGTGGCAGCAGTAGGTCCTTCTATCCAGTCCTCTGCTATGCCACGTATTGCTTCCAGACCTGGACTTGGGCTGAAAGCAGCATTCTCAGGTGGGACACGAGCCTTGCCGGGCAGCTGAGGGTCTGCTAAAATCACAAACCCCACCCAACGTGGGAGCTGGAACCGTTCACAAGCTAAAGCTCCTGCAGGTGAGAGCTTACGATTACTAGTTCTTATCCAGACATGTTTTGGTTCCCCTCACAGCTCTGTTTTGGTGTTTTGGGTTCTTTTTTCTGTCTGTTTTTAAAGCAAAGGCTTATTTGCGATGTGGGTCTCACTACTTGCAATTTTTTTTTTTTTGTGCCAGTGAATCCCTTTGATAAGCGCTGGGGTTCTATGATTCAGTTGTTCTAAATTAGGTTTGCCTTGGAATCCCAAAGCCTGTGCCTGCGCGGGGGGGATGAGGCAAAGGTGACTGTAAATTGATTTGTTGTGGAGTGTTTTGGGGCCGAGTTAATGCTCTTGGCTTGTTGTGTGTCAATTCCCAGCCTCGGTCAGGGCTTCCCGGGGAGCGTTGCTGCTGCTGCTGCTGCTGCTGCCGGGAGAGAGAAATCCTTTGGGAAGCTGGGCTGGAAACAGGAACTCTGTGAACTGCTCAGCTTTTCCTAGGTAAGGGCAGGTTTTAGGGAAGAAAGTGCCGCACTTGCCAAAGGCGCCGCGGGTCTTGCAAGGGGGGGGCGCGGCTGCAGTGCCGCTCCCGGCCGTGTCCGCCAGGCGGCGACTGCGAGGCGGAATAATAGAGAATAATAACGGAATTTAAAGATAAAATAAAAATGTAAAAAGACGGCAAAAAACGCATTAAACCCGACTATTTTTCTGCAGGAAGTGGGCTGCGACAGGGGAATTGTCTCCAAGGCGGCCCAGGATCGGGGTGGGCTGTGCGGCGGGGACGATGCCGCTGCCGGCTGGGGAAAGGCACCTTCCCCCCACTCCCCAAGAGCTGGGAAGGGAAAACATCTGCCTGCAGCTGCCTGGAGTTTCAGGGCTGTAGCTGTTGTTGTCACTGAGGAGTCAAACTATGCTTTAAATAAAGAGATACTGACCTAATGGCCCAGCGTCAAGAAAAAAGGGGGAATGCTGTCTGAGCGTTGAGATGTAACAAGGGCTAATCCTTTTTGCAGTGGGATGTAGCCTGGAAACTGCCCAGAGCTGAGCCAAGGGATTGAAAGGGAGCAACCCAGGGAGGTGAAGAAACAAGGAAGAGGGGAACTGAGGCAGCAGGCAAGCAGCACCAAGTTCCTGTGTAAGCAGGTGAGTGGTCTGGAGGTTCCTGAGGCAGGCACTGAGGACTTGGAGGGCTCCAGACAGAGCAGACCTGCAAAGGCCCTCGGTGAAGCCCCTCGGAAACCTTCTAAGGGTAGGTGTGG